ACAGAAATGAGATCCACTACATCTGTGGAAAGAGACAGTGGAAAGCTCCATATCATCAACCAAAACAAGGCCAGGGACAGACGATGGAATAGACCATCAATTGTTCATATGCAGTTCAGGCTGAAGCTGATGAAAATTAAAGCAAGTTCACAAGAGTCAAAAACTGACCTTGAACATATCCCAACTGAATTTAGACAGCATCACAAGAACGTATTTGATACATTAGACACTAAAGACTGAAGACCAGAAGAGCTGTGGGCCTGACATCAAGAACATCATATAGAAGAAAGCAAAAGTTCATTAGAAAGAAAGAAACGACCAAAACAAATGTCAGAAAAGGCTTTGAAACTTACTCTCCCACACAGAGATGTTAAAGCAAATGGGGGAAAAAATGAGGTAAAGCAGCTAAACAGAAAATTTTGAAAGAAAGCTTGAGAAGACAAAGTCATGTATCAACAAAAGGTGCAAAGATTTGACGTTAGAAAACTAAAAGGGAAGAACATGCTCACCATTTCTCAAACTGAAAGAAGTAATGAAAAAAATTCAATCCTCAACTTTCAATATTGAAGTTCGAAACTACCAGCTGTTCCGCAGGAGAAAGATGAAGCTTTCTGCTCCTGTAAAGATTTACAGCCTTGGAAACCCTGTACAGGGTCACTATGAGTCAGAACCGACTTCATGGCACACAACAACAACAACAACATGGACAAAATAGAGTCCTGGTGTGACACTGTGGGTTAATGTGCTGGACTACAAAGTCGGTTTGAATTGCAAGGTCAGGAGTTCATGCTCACAAGCTCATTGGAGACCCTATACAGGGTCGGTATGGGTCGGAACCCACTCAGTGGCACTTAGCAACAACAACAACAATGGACAAAATATTGAATGATGCAGAAAGCATCAAAAGAAAATAGAAGGAATACACAATCACTCTACCAAAAAATAAAAAAGGCAACATGGCTGATGCTCAACCACTTTGAGAGATAGTATATAATCAAGAGCCAATGGTACTGAGGAAGTAATCCAACATGAATTGAAAGCAATGGCAAAGAACAAGGCTCTGGATGGAATACAAATTGAAATCTTTCAATAAACTGATGCACACACTTATGTATGCCAAGAAATTTGGAAGAATACTACCTGGCCAGCTGATTCATATTTGTGCCTGTTCCAAAAAGAGGTGACACAATGGAATGTGGAAATCATGAGACAATATCATTAATACTACACGCAAGTAAAATTTTGCTAAAGTTGATTCAAAAACAACTGCAACAGTACATTGACAGTGAACTGCCAGAGGTTATCATTGTTGACATCAGATAACTGTTGGCTGAGAGCAGAGAATACCAGAAGGATGTCTACCTGTGTTTTGTTGACTATGCAAAGGCTTTTGAATGTGTGGATCACAAGTTATATATATAACATTGCTAAGAATGGGTATTCAAGAACATTTCATTGTGCTCATGAGTAACCTGTACATAGGTCAAGAGGCAATTTTTAAAGGAGAACCAGAGACACTGAATCATTTAAAATCAGGAAAGGTGTGTGCCTGGGTTGTGTTATTTCACTGCATTTATCTGTATGCTGAGCCGGTAATCTCAGAAACTGGATTATATGGCAGAAGAATGTGACATCAGGATTACAGGAAGACACATTAACAACCTGTGATATGCAGATGATGCAACCTTGCTTGCTGAAAGTGAAGAGGACTTAAATTACTTACTGATGAAGATCAAAGACCACAGCCTTCAGTATTGGTTTCAGTTTAAAGAAAATAAAAATCCTCACCACAGGACCAATAAATAACATCATGATAAATGGAGAATAGATTGAAGTTGTCAAGACTTCATTTTGCTTGAATGAACCATCAATGCACATGGATGCAGCAGTCAAAAAATCAAATGACCTGTTGCATTTGGCAAATCTGCTGTACAAGACCTTTTAAAGTGCTGAACAGCAAAGATGTCAGTTTGGGTACAAAGGTGCGTCTGACCCAGATCATGGTATTTTCAAGAGCCTCATATGCATGCAAAAGTTTGACAATGAATAAGGATGGCCATAGAAAAATGGATGACTTCAAGTTATGGTGTTGGAGAAGAATATTAAGAGTACCATGGAATGCCAGAGGGACAAACAAATCTGTCTTGGAAGAAGTATAGCAAGCATGCTCCTTAGAAGCCAAGGTGGGAAGACTTCATGTCTCATACTTAGGACACATTATCAGGAGGGACCAGTCCCTGGAAAAGGACATCATGCTTGGTGAAGTGGAGTGTCAGCAAATAAGAGGAAGACCCCCAATGAGATGGATTGGCATGGTGGCAGCAGCGATGGGCTCAAGCATTAACTAAAATGGTGAAGATTGTACTGGAATGGCCCATGCTTTGTTCTTGGAATGGACCATGCTTCGTTCTGTTGTGCATAGGGTTACTATGGGGCAGAACTGACTCAATGACACCTAACAACAATATCAGGTGAGTGGAGAGAAACTAATTCCAGGTGACACTTGGACTAATATGCTGCCAGTCTCAGGCACATTCATTTTAGGGTCTTTTTGTGTGCTGTACCTACAGGGTGAGGTCATCAGTTTCTACTATGCGCAGTAGTGAATAGTAGTGATACAGCCAAATTACTGCGGTCTTAGATAATACAGTCAGATGGAAACCCTGTCCCTTTTGTCTTCATCTGCTGTCAGAAGTTGCCTGTGAGGTTTTCCTTAATAGCAGCTTGCTGAACATATTTAGGAAGTTTACTGGAGAATGTGAAGACAGGAGGATCTCAACCAATGGCAATTTGGCCATCAGGGGACATTTGGCATTATTTGGAGACATTTTTGACTATCAAAACTGGGTTAAGGTTAACATGGGAAAAAGGGAGGAGAATGTTCTTTGACACTAGTGGAGAGAGGCCCAGGATGCTGCTAAACATCCTACAGCACTAGAATTTTCATTTGATTTTGTATCAGGTTACACTGGACATTGTAAGCAGAGATTTTTTAAATTAATGTCAAGAAATTTTAATATGAAATTGATGTTGAGAGTGTTTATAATGAAAGAAACATATATTCTATAAATATAATAAAAAATCATTTAAACTGAATAAAATAAAGAGACAGCCAATACAATGATTGAAGGAGGCAGACATTGTACAGGCAAATTAGGTTAAAGTGAGTTTCTTTAATGGAATTCCAAACAGAAGCTTTGGGAAAGGTAAAGCTTCAGTCTCTGGACTCATGGGAATTGTCCTTGTTTTAAATGACATTCTAATAAAAATGGTGTTTTTTCCCAAATATTCGTTTTTCTTGATGACACGCCCAAAGTAAATGAGTTGAAATCTGTTCAGCCTTGGTTCTTACAAATATTCTGGTTGTATTTCTTCTAAGATTGATGTGTTCATTCTTTTAGTTGTTGTTGTTGTTATTGTTAAATGCCGTTGAGTCAGTTCGGACCCATTGTGACCCTACATAGGGCTTCTGAGTAGTGACTGGTGAGCTTGAACCGCCAACCTTGCAGTTCAAATGGCTTTACAGTCTGGCACACTAACCCACAGCGCCACACCAGGACATGCTATATTTTATATTTTTGGCCAAGAACACAGTTTGAACACTTCAATTCTTCTGTCTACCTTTTTCATTATCTAATTTTCACATGCTTATGTGGAGATTTAAAAGATTATGCTGTTGTTGTTAAGTATGGGTCAGTTTTGACTCATAGCAACCCCATATAGGGTTTTTCAAGAAGTGGCTTGTGTGTTTGAACTGACAGCCTTGTAGTTCAAACCAACCTTGCGGTCCTGTTATTATCCTGCAGTGCCATACCAAGTTAAGGTCAAAGACACCTTTATTATACAAAAAGAGACTTATGTATAGCTGTTATAGTGTTTTAAAAGCTTTAACAGGTATACAAAGTATCCATAATTTAACACCATTTTAGTGGCTCCAAAAGGACAAAAATGGATTTATAATTTAAAAGATAGTTTAGAGTAAGTCATCATTCTAATTGAAATGCCTTGAAAATCAGATGGATTTTCATGTCTTTTTTTCCTAAGATATAGGAATCAGTGGCCTAGCAAGTTATGGAATATATTCTAAGTGTGAAGTAATTTAAAAAAATACAATGTTTTTTAGGTGGGCATCAAAGTCAAAGGAAGTAATGGACAAAATGTTTAATAAATGCAAGTAGAATACATGTGCCCTGCAGCAAATAATTAAAAAAAAAAAAAAACTTAGAAAAAATACTATTTCAGCATGGCTTTCCTTCATGTAAAATGATGCGATGCATGTTAATGGTTCTGTCACATTTTTAGGATGGAAATTGATATAGTTACTTTAAATACAGACTGAACTATGCTCAGTATTCCTGCACAAAACCTCTGGCAATAATTTACCCAGCAGCACAGTAGCTCATGCAGATCAAAGCTGCATTATTTAAGTGTGTCCAGGGGGCAAGTTTTAGGTCTGTGCCTTATACTTTAAAGAAAAAAAACATCGGTTAGCTTCTTGAAAGACAAAATGTGATTAACCTAATGCAAGTCCTGTAATATTTAAACTTGCAGGAATTTCTGCTCTATCAGGGAAGAATCCCCTTTGCACCCCCTGATACTCTAAAGTCTGAAAAGTATACAACAACAACAAAAAACTGTGGGAAAGCCAATCTCTTCAAACAAACAACAGTATATTTTCATTTAAATGAATCCCGAATGTGAGCTAGATTCCGGAAAGGAAATGGCAGAGGAGAGGCAGCTTGTATTGCTATAGAATGTGCCTGGCTGCTTCAGTTCACAGACAAGTGATGAAGTCCAACTCTGAAATTTCAGGCAATTTGTATACGAAGCTCCTCCTTTTCTGCAGTTCTTCTCTTCCATTGGTAAAATTCTTTTGCAGGGTCATGTAGGGATCCTACCCCTTCTCTGTGTTTTCACTCTGAAGCTCTGCACAACTTTACACCTGAATGAATGCCAAACCTCTGTGGATATATAAAGGGAACCTTGAGGAGGAATTTCACAGTTACAGTGCTGAAGCCGAAGGCCAAGAATTAACCAGCTCTTCAGCCAAGCAAATCTTCTACTCACTATGCTTCCTTCTGCCATTCATTTTTATCTCTTTCCCCTTGCATGCATCCTAATGAAAAGCTGTTTGGCTTTTAAAAATGATGCCACAGAAATCCTTTATTCACATGTGGTTAAACCTGTTCCAGCAAACCCCAGCAGCAACAGCACGTTGAATCAAGCCAGAAATGGAGGCAGGCATTTCAGTACCACTGGACTGGATCGGAACAGTAAGTATGTTTTACTTATACAAACACTTTTTTCTCCCTCTCTTTTTTGTAGTATTTACTCACATTCCTACTAAATCGTTTGATTGTTAACTAACTTGAATGGTATATACTTTGCTAAGCAATCTGGGAGTAATCAATCTGTTGAGTGCATAGAATGGCGTTCTTCCCTAGTTAGTGATTTGTAAGTTAACATAGCTACAAAAGTGATTTGATAATGCATGCACAGACCTAAGTTTCATCAAACATTTAGAGCAATTATTTCCAAGAGTTAAACTACTTCTTCATAATCCTGCAGAATGACAATTTTTTTTAAAAAAGTGTTGTTCTGGATAGATTAAGTTCAGTTTGCCTTCTCAGTTTACTTCAGGACATGTGCAATTCTAGAAACCATATGCAAAAGTAACTAGCTAAAAGTATATATATAGGAAAGTACAAGGTCAATAGAAATATTTCTGGGGAAAAAGATTTTTAGACGATGTCTAGTGGAATCATTAAAAGTTTTGGTGATCAGTGTAAAAGTTAAAACTAAAAACTGTTAGAGGATCATAAGTCTCCCTGAGATAATTTCTGATTAACCAGTTCAAAATTTAGGTAATTATATATTTCTGTGAAGAAATAGGGGGTATTTTACAATATTAGAGATTTAAAGGATAACAGCACAATAATGTTTTGTGTAGGAAGGATTTATTTTCCTTTTCTGTTTGCTTAATTGACAAGCTAATTGGCCACTTATTAGTGGGATTCAAATTTCTACTCTTAACTTTTGCTTCATGCTTTGCGTTTAGAATAATTTACATGCTAATGATCAGGTTAAGAGAAACTGGGAGAAACAGTGTGCAGGAAATCTTACACAAATCTTTCTGCCCCTCCTCTTCAACTCCATTTAACTAGTGAAGTAGATTTGACCTTGGAAAAGTCAAAGCAAATATGACTAGTAATGTCTTTCTAAGGAAACCAGATGTTTTAACCTTCATGAAGACGGTTGCTATTAAAAGTACGCAGGAAATATCTGTCTGATTATCACGGGGTTACTGAGCAATGCGGTAGATAGTCATTGTCAATGAACTGTCACTTCAAAAATGCTGAATCTCCACGTATACAAGAACAAAAAGCTAGACAAGTCAGAATCATCTCCAGCTGCTTCCAGGTGCATTCCTATCACAGCTGCGGGAAGGTAACCCAGAATCAGAATTAGACAGACAAAACACAATGGCCAGCCAGCCAACTAGCTTACCTTTGAATTTTAAATCTAACAGCTCTGTATCTCTATGGAGGTGTGCAAATATCCATACATTTTTCAAAACGATCCTATTCCCTTTAAGCTATCTCTCATACTTCAGAAATAGTGGGCAGAGAGATAAAGTGAAATTTCTTATTCAATGTCTACTTTCAATTAACTTTCAGTATGCTATACAAACCTCCTCAATGTCCCTTATAATTTTCTTCATTCCAGCAGCATAGACTTTTGAACTTTTTTTCTTTCTTTCTGTTTTAACAAGCCCTAGTTTCTTTTCAAGCTTGTAACAAGCAATTCTCCTCAAGTTTAGATAACAAAGCACTGGCAAGAACAACTTCAACTATTTCAAGACCAATTTTTCTTGAATTACCTAAGACACGTAACAAGAAACCACCAATTAGAGGACATACTTATCAAATCCAAAATAACTAAACAAAAAGTTTGCCTTGTACAATATTAAAGAAATGAACACCGTGGTTCCTCTGGCAGTTGTAAATCAGACATGTTAGGCATTTCTCTGCCGTAAAATTCATGGAAATGTAGCCAAGTTGTTATGGTAACCATACGTTCTTGATTTAGGAGCTTTTATATTCCTCACATTTTGAGTTGTGGTGATATTTTGCATTTTAAACATTTTACCATTTGTATATATACACATATATATTAAAAATAGCTTGGAAATTTATGTTTAAAATGTAGTTATTAAGTTGAAGACGCAGCAGGTCAGACATTGTACATTCATGTACGTGTTACAGTATGCATTTGCATTGTACACAACATTTAAATACTTTGCACATTTTCTCAGCAGATTTTTTTTTTTAGAAAGCTTTAGTAAAAGCGCGTGCAGACGTTAACAATATGACCCTTGAGAGCATTAAAGAAAACATTAAAGTGTATTCTCTTTAATTATTTAAATGATGAATATTTACATATAAATCGAAGAGTTGCTTAACCCTTATTATGGAGTAAGACTAAGAAAACAGAAATTTCCAAGTATTTCAATAAGCATTACAAATAATGTTACACCTGAAAAACCAGACCAATACTTTTTTCCCCACCAAAGAAAATTATTGCCAAGTAAACTGACGATTTTCTTGAAATGGTCTTTATGATTATCCAGGAGATCTTGCAGTTTAAAAACAAAATAGATATTTACCTTCTATTTGGCAATTTGCTACCATTTAAGTATGACTTGTCATTGCAGATTATTATATTTTAAAAGCTTTCATTTTCTTTTTGCTTCTGACGCACATTCTTTACTATTTCCTGCAGCTCGGGTTCAAGTGGGTTGCCGGGAACTTCGTTCCACTAAATACATTTCCGACGGCCAGTGTACTAGCATCAGTCCTCTGAAAGAGCTTGTATGTGCCGGCGAATGCTTGCCCCTACCAGTGCTCCCCAACTGGATCGGGGGAGGCTATGGAACAAAGTATTGGAGCCGGAGGAGTTCCCAGGAGTGGAGGTGTGTCAATGACAAAACGCGCACCCAGAGAATCCAGTTGCAGTGCCAAGATGGCAGCACGCGCACCTACAAAATCACGGTGGTCACCGCCTGCAAGTGCAAGAGGTACACCCGGCAGCACAATGAGTCCAGTCACAACTTCAAGAGTATGCCGCCTGCCAAGCCAGCCCAGCATCACAGAGAGCGGAAAAGAGCCAGCAAATCCAGCAAGCACAGCATGAGTTAGAACTCAGATTCTCAAAACTGGACTGACTAGTAACCATCTGCTTTACAGATTTCATTGCTTGGACGACTCAAGCCTGCCATTGCTATTTTCTCACTTGAAAATATATGCTCTCTGCTTTGATCAAACCCAGCAAGCTGTCCTAAGTATCAAGACCTTTTTTGGGAATAGTTTTTCCTTTTCAAGTCTTGCAAGATGTACCTATATCCATGCGTGCAATTTGCATTTAAGTTCCATACATCCTGTTGTTTTAATCCCCAGTGGTTTTTAAAGGACTGGCTACCCAACACTTCAATATAGAAAAGGGTCTGTAGATTACCATCCACCTCCCAAATTCCACATAAACACACAAATGAAACCATGCAAAAC